GCTGGGGCCTCCAGAAAATGTTAATCCCAATAGCAAGAATAAGATCACTACTGTAATGGTCTGTCCTGTCCCTTTAAGAGACAAGCCATGCCCACCCCCTCCTCCCTTCATCTCCTCTGTAATGGTGTGTCATTACGCTTTCAGCGAGAATCTTTTCCTCTCTCTCTCTCTCTCTCTCTCTCTCTCTCTCTCTCTCTCTCTCTCTCTCTCTCTCTCTCTCTCTCTGCTTCTGTCTCTCACTTCTCCCCACTTCTCTGCTTCCCCTCTGTTTTCGCTCTTTCTCTCTCTCTGTCTCTCTCTCTGTTCTTCCCCCTTCTCCCCTTCCCTTCCATAGCCCACTAAATAAATATCCAACTTCACTTTGCATGGCATGCCTAACCATTTTGGCCTCTCACCTGCCCTGTGGCTTCCTGCCTGGGACCCAGCTGCCTTTGTGGCCTGCCATGGTCTTGGCTACTGCCTACCACTGCCCACTGCCACCACTTAAGGACCTGCAGCATTTCTGCCTCTGCACCCCTTGGGGGTCCACAGCATTTTACTTAAACCATTACAACTACCACAGTTTGAGTCAAATTCAAAGCAAGCTTGATTTTTTAGGGGCTGCACCCAAGAGCTGGCCAGCAACTGCCTCCTAAGTCGGGTTAAAGAGAGAAGTTCTGAATCCACGTCTTGGGCCCTTTTAAATCATGAATAGTTTTACAGAAAGGAAAAAATGGGCAATAAAAAAATACTAAAAAAAAAAGCCATGTGATCACCAACCATGTGATTAGAAAGGTCAGGAAGGGTCAAGGTAGTCTCAGAAACAAATTAAGGTCATGACTTGGGAAAGGTCAGGTTTCAGGAAACAGAGCTAGCTACTCAACTCTCACAGTAAATAGAAACTTATTTTTAAAAATACAACATAATGAGTCCTGCCTTTAAAATGAAGTCAGGTAGGTTTCTCGCTCTCACCACCCATCTCAAGTTACCTCACCTAAGGAAGCTTGCTCTGACAGTGAAGACTTCTATCGAAGGAACATCTGTCATGCACAGATGGACATGCAGTTAGCTTAGAGCCTAGCAGTATGCTAATGTATAACCAGGAGGTAAATAATTGTAGGAGTGCAGGCTGTGGCATCCCACTGGAGCAACCTGTAGTATTTTGCTGACTCTCCTTCTTCTGAAAAAGGTTAGCCTAAATCTGCTCTCACAGCCTGTCTGCACCTTGACAAAATGACTCCCAGGAGCACGTGCGTATCTAACTGATGCTCTGTGTCTACTGCTTTACAGAGGCCTATAACAGACTCCTGCCCTACATTCTCATGGGCAGTCTGACCGTCCTGATTGGAATCATCACGCTTTTTTTCCCTGAAAGTTTTGGAGTGGCTCTTCCAGAGAACTTAGACCAGATGCAGAAAGTGAGGGGGTAAGTAGCAAAAGGATTGGAAGAATAAACGTGGGAGAATATTGAAAAGAGGAGCTCTGAGTGAAGATTAGCGAAGGGGCACTGAGAAATATTGGCATGGCAACAGTGGAGGGATAGAGACCAGTGGAGCAGGAGAGAATGAAGCCCAAGAAAATAAAAGAATTCAGAATATGACTTAAAACAAACTAACCAACCACGCATCAATTTAAAATCCTTTGGGAAGAGCAGAGCACACACCTTTAGTACAAACTTCAAGGGAAGGGTAAGGTAGGAGGGTCACATGAATACAGGAGTTCAAGACCAGCCTGGATCAAATGATGAACCCCCTCAGTATCCATTCATCCATATATACATGCATACATACATATGTAAAAATAATCAGAATTTTTAAAGAAAAAATTAAATCCTCTCAATACATCAAGATAAATTCTAGAAAGAAAAATTATTTAGGACTAAAAATACAAAATCATGAATCTACTAGAAAAAAAAACAATTTGTGTAAATGTGAACTGAGCAAAGAGGGGGGAGACAAGATCAAGAGCTAAAGGTCATCTTACACACTGAGACCCTGGCCCCACACCAAACAACCAACAAAAAACAGCAAAATCAAAGCTGATAAGCAGGGGGAAATATGTAAAGCACAAATGTAGACAGAGGCTGATGTCCCAAGTTCTGCAGTCGTGGGGAAGAGGTTTTGCCAGCAAAGGACAGGAACTGGCTGCTTAGAGAAGGTAAAATTTAACTGTGCAGCACACATGAAAATCAATCTACTCATCATACGTATAAAGAAATAGAGGAGCCCGTGAGATGGCACAGAGGGTGAGGGTGCTGACCACCAAGACTGAGCACCTGAGCTCCGTTCCTTGATCCGAGAGTGGAAGGAGAGATTTGATTTCTGCCAGTTATCACTGTAGTGGATACCGTTGTGATGCTGTGCTCAAATGCTGTGGCTAAGAACAGCTTACACAGGAAGAGTTATATTTTGGCTTAAGTTCTCCATGGGGTTGCCCATCACAGTGAGAGGCATGGCAACAGGAGCAGTAAGCTAGCAGATCACGTGTCATCTGCACACAGGAAGCAGTGCACTGCTCCCCTGACAGCAGAGGCAGCCCGTGGTTCAGAAGCTCCCCAGACCCCAATGGATGCAGATTCTCCATCCTGTGCGCTTGATTGGTCACTCACTCTATCCCCACCCTGCCCTCCTCTGCAGAGGCTGAGAGAGCAAAGCCACAAAGGTCTGTGCTCTTAGATGAAGGCTTCTTCCTTCTGGCAGCCGGTCCCCATGCTGGGCTAGCTAAGCGCGCCTCATAGAACTCAGGAAACCACAAGAGATTTGGGAGCTCGGTGCCAGGACCCAGAGACAGAGCCCAAACAGGAGTAAAGCTCAGCGGCTAGATGGAGAAACTGAGACTCTGAGCTGCATCGGCCTGGCTCCGAATTCCCAACTTATGGCGTAAATTAATTAATGGGGAAAGTATTTGTCTTCTCAACCGTCGGTCTTCCCATTTAGTACATGGGAATATTTCATGTGACTGCCTGGGGGTTCTGTGAGATAAAGTGTTAGCCGTGGCTGGCCATAATAAAGCTAAGTCCGTATGTGTAGATACTGGTGTGTCACAAATTTGTACAGGTACCTGCATTTGGAATTCATCTAATCATTATAATTCTTCATGATAATCCTTCAGTATTGCCATGAACTTCCTGCTACCCTTCAATCTTTTTTTTTTTTTCAGGGAAACCAAAGAACTTAGATTCTAGACTTTGTGTTTAATCAAGAAAGTAGCTCAAATCCTAAGTCATGAGGTCTGCACCTGTTAGGTTCTTTAGTTAGAATTCACAGGTTTTTCCCTGGTCGAATGGGGAAATGTTTCCCGATGTCAGTCTGGTGTTTTAAGGAGAAGAGTCTGTTTAATTTTCTTCTGCCATTGTTTTCTTTCCAGGTTCAGATGTTGGAAAAAACCAGCAGCCTCTGTGGACAGAGAAGAAAACCCCAAGGTTCTGATCACTGCATTCTAATAAAGGGTCCCCCGCACCTGGCAACCTGAGACACAGATGTGAGATGACCCGGGGGTGATGGAACACACCTGTAATCCCAGCGTGTAGAGGGGGGGGAAGGAGGATCAGGAATTCAAGGTCATCCTTGGCTATGTCAGGAGTGCCATTTTTGACCATAATAAAGGCTATAAGAGAAATACTTCTATTGCCTACTAAACTAGCAGGTCTCCGTCATTGTTTCTTTTTTTTTTTTTTTTTTTTTTTTTTTTTTTTTTTTT